CATTGTCCTTCGGAAGCATCTTCTTTTGAATTTTAGTAACTCTCCAAATCCCTTGTCGATATACACATTCTTTGCCTTCTATTGCAGCAATTCTAGTGTGGTTCCCAACTTTTTCTCGCCTGCATCACAAGTTGGGTACAACAATTTCTTGTGATCTTCTAGCATCCGCTCGAACTTGATCTTCTCCTTTTCACTTTCACATTCTCTTTGTAAAGCGTCACGAATGACTGAGAAAAGATCATCACCGCTCATCTTCTGCGGCTACCTCTTCTTCACTTCTCCCATTGCAAGATCATTGAAGCACGCACCATCGGGAATAATATCATTGTCGTCCCATTGTTCTTCTTCACCTTCTTCCATTACAACACTAGTTTCTCCGTGCTTTGTCCAACAAATATAGTTTGGCATGAAACCCGACTTGAACAAGTGTGAATGAAGAGTCCTTGAGCAAGGATATTCCACCGTATTCTTACATATGGCACATGGGCAAAGACATGAAACCATCGCGTTTGTTTGCCTCGGCCGCACGCGTAACAAAGAATGCACGCCGTCAATGAACTCTTGGGAGCGGCGATCAACATTATACATCCAATGACGGCTCATCTGCATTACATGACATAAATACCATATTAAAACCTAGATCATAATTAATTATTTATACAACATGCGTGCCACCACAAAAGATACAAATTTATGAAAGCATTGCTACAATGTAGACAATCCCAACTACCACTAAAAGAACTAAAGCTAAAATACATTTCGATGCGCGAGGATTTCACGACCAATCTCAACTAAAATAGACAGATCCCCGATTGTGCAACATCTTTGGGCTTCTTCGGCTGGATCACTGCCTCATTAGCCGTCGTATCTGCCTGTTGTGCAAGATATTTTTGCACGAGTCCAACATACTCTTCCTCCCAGTAGAAGCCTGAACATCGTCCACTGCCATCCCACTGAAATTAAAACAAAAAATTAGAACTTTAATCACAACAATCATGAAAATAGGTATAAACTAACCATAATCATTAAATACGATAAAATAACTCACATTGCGATCCGGACACTTGTAGAAGATACGATCCTTGTTGGGACCCTCCTTCTTCACTCGGTACTCCATCACAATCTTCGTCTCATCACGACACTTGCCGCATGGAATGAGAGGGAGGCCCGGCCTAAGTCGCTTTGGAAACCCATGAGAGGCCGAGGACCCGGAAGCAGTTGCCATCTACTCTCTATACTCATTTTTAATACACTATAAATTTCTCCTTTTATAAACAAATAAAATTAAGAAACTATAAAATTATCTAGATCTCTAAACAATGATATTTTTTTAATGGTCATTGTGTTCTCGCTTTTTTTTCTGCGGCGGTAAGTAATTCACATGATATTTACGCAAATTAACGTAAGAATGGGAGTGTACACACATAACAGACTCTGCATGACGATATCGGGATGTGTGAATAAATAACCATCCATACTAGTTGACCTTGCTTACGTGATCATCTCGGCGAGCATTTCTCCACCGGACGGCACTGCGTGCTTGCCACGGAAGAGCTCCGATTCTACGAGGAAGGAACACGGTCTTCCACGACCGCTGCCGCTCTCCCTCGTAGAATCAAAGCTCCTCCTTGACGTCAACCGCTCGGCAGAAGAGCGTGCTTCAGAAGATGAACACGGTCCGCAAGTTCAACTAGTATGGATTTTCTATAATTTTCTAACTATTTTCTAAGTTTATATTTATATATATACTACGTTTGGTACGGTGATTGATGACTCTGCGGCGATATCGGGACATGTGAATAAATAACCATCCGTACTAGTTGACCTTGCTTACGTGATCATCTCGGTGAGCATGTCTCCACAGGGCGGCACCGTGCTTGACCACGGAAGAGCTCCAATTCTGAGGAAGGAACACGGTCTTCCACGACCGCTGCCGCTCTCCCCTTGTAGAATCAAAGCTCCTCCTTGATGTCCGTTACCGCTCGGCAGAACGTGCTCGCCGAGATGAACACGGTCCATAAGTTCAACTAGCTACTTTAACCTTATTTCATGTAAATATGCAAGCTTGAAGTGATTTTGAGCTCAAATTGCTTACAAATGAAAAAAACCAAAATAAAGAACCATATATATATAGTGAACAAAATGAGATAAGACAATGGTGAAAAATGAGAGTATGAGATTGGTAACCTTTACAACTGAAGAATCGACGGAGGAATCAAAGAAATCGATGGAGGAATCGAATAATGGATGGAGGAACAATGGAGGAGGAGGAAGCAAGAACACTACTGCAGTGAGCTTCAAAATGTGCTGAGCTGGGCTCGGGGAGGAAGGAGGAGCCGGCCGGGATATAAAGGGGGACCTTTAGTCCCGGTGGTGGCTCCAACCGGGACTAAAGGTAACTTTCCAACCCGGCGCATTTTTAGACCTTTACTCCCGGTTGGAGCCCCCAACCGGGAGTAAAAGTATACTTTAGTCCCGGTTGGTGGCTCCAACCGGGACTAAAGGTCCCTGCCACCTCTGTCTGGCGCAGTAGCCGTTGGGGCAGGGACCTTTAGTCCCGGTTGGAGATACCAACCGGGACTTAAGGTATTTCTAATCCCGGGCGTAAAAAATTCCGGGACTAGAGCCTATTTTGACCGAGGATTAAAGGCCTGTTCTCTACTAGTGTGATTACCAATGTGTCCTCTGTCAAAACTCCACTGGGGAAACAGTCATGCATCTGCTCTTCTACTGTCCTTTTGCCAAGGACTGTTGGAGTTTGATGGATTTTCACTTTGCTGATCAGCTCTCAATTCAACAAAATTTTCAAGCCTGGAAATCTCTACTAAAGGTTGAATTCTCCCTGGACATCTTCATCCTTCTCTGTTGGGCAATTTGGATAACAAGAAATGATGTCATCTTCAGAAACATGAATCCTTCGGTGCAAGATTGCAAAAGGCATTTGACAGTGGAGACACTGTTGCTTCTGCATAGATGTAAAGCTAGAATTGCTCCTCTAGAATCATGGATCAATTCCAATTTATAATCTTGTGGATCTTTTTCCACTCTTTTGCTGTCCCTTAATCCTCTTTCTTCTTTTTCTTTTATCCCTCCCCTCTCCTGGGACGTTTGTAATTACACTCTTTGTTTATTAATGCATTTGCAGTAGGAGCCTTTGGCTCCTCCTGATTCTTCAAAAAAAAAATCATCCTAGAAAACTACATATAACTAACCCACAAAATTGCATCATTTAATACCGCCTAGAATCTGAGATTATCTGAGACTTGTTATGATGAGGACATGCCACCGCTTGCTCAAGTTTCACATAAACAAGTGTATGAAGGGCCAATTATGCGTAGCCATGCAAATCTACTCCAAAAAGAGGTGAACTCACTCCTAGTTGAAATTAACTTTAATATACATGAGAATATTATACTACCTAAGTGTTCTACTTTGGCTGTACTTAGGTATACAAATAAAGAGGAGGATGATACTCTACATCGGACCAGCACCGAGAAAAACGGACCATCAGATCGGACCAGCACAGTGAAAAATGGACCATCAAATCAGACTAGTACAGTGAAAAACGGACCAGCTCAAAGAAAATATTCATAACTCTCAACTCCGTGAAGCTTTGGAGGCCCATGAGGACATTTTGGAAAGCTTATCAAGTCTAGTTTCCAATGGCGCAAGTTCCAAGTACTTTGGACTTCCCAATGCTGAGATATGAGCAGATTAGTGAAGACTGCTCAGAAGGTCAACAGTCTTCCCAGGATAGAATGTTGGTCCAAATTCCCGTGCAAAATTGTACCAATCTACAAAGTTTCGAGGTGCATGCTGCACATGGCTGGAAAGCTCTTCGAGTCTAATTTCACACCCAACAAACGGTTCGTCATTTGGACTTCTCAATAAGGAGTTATGGCTAGATTAGTGGAGACTGCTCAGGAAGCCAACAGTCACGCGAGACCACTTCGGGAATCCATCTCGTGATAACCTTTCACATAACCTATCTTCAGAAACTCCATTTCGTTTTCACACTCAACTAGGAGAGTTGTTCCTAATATAAATATCCCCTGCCTCTAAGCTATTAGGAACCTTTAGATGAATTGATAAACCCCTCATATTACAGCCAAGCTGCTGAGTGCCTTACTCAAACCTATTGTTCTTCCTTCTTCTTCTTGGACTTGTGAAGTGATCCCTCTGGGTTCCCCTAGTTCGTGCTCTACGGTTTCCAGTATGGCTCCACCGTTTTGTGTGGATTAGTACCGGATTGTGGTTCTGCGGTCGTTCGGAGATCGAGTCGAAGTCTTCGCGGTTTTGGTGCCTCTCTTCCCGTCGCTTGGTCGCATCCAACCTTTGTCAAGTATAAAGCTAGTTACCCCGCTGTTCGCAACAAGTTATCTTTGATTCGTGACCTACTGTCGTGAAGATCGGGCCACCCTCAATGACGTTCCTTATCATGTTATGAAGGTGAATTCCTCACCATGTGTCTGCAAGTGGCGATCATTCCCACCCTACCCCTAAACCTTGTCAATGCCTTTGTATTTCTTTATATGAAAACACATGCACAGAAATCTGGACATGAAAAACAAACAGAGCATGCGAATTCAACATGTAACATCAGTACATAACCACTGCTCCCCATTTAGAAATGGCAGAAAAGAAAGGAGAGATATGCATAAATAGGTGAGACTCCTCATGTTACATATAAATGCAAAGCAAGTATACTTGAGAGAAATTATTACTAAATACCACAAATACTCAACTTGATACAATGCATGGAACATGACTAGCTTCTGAATAATACTCTCATGTTCTTATAACAAATTTCTCTTTAAAGCACAAATGTTACCAATAATACCACAAATGTTCCTACCAAGAAATACTCAACAAACACTTGGACGGTAAACCAAAATATAGCACTTAGTCTGTTGACAAATTACAATATTAGGAACAGAGATGCCTTAATGTGAAAACACAGCAAACAAGTGGCTAATCAGGTTTCTGTAAAACAGTATAGCCTAACCGGTGGCCCAGTAGTCAAACCCTACAAATGGGTCAGCTTTTGACAAATCATGTACTTGCTCATACCAGATATGTTCACAAGATACAGGCCGACTAGAATGAGACACAAAATCAAACCGCGCACCCCTTGAAGCTCTCTCTTCGATCTGGAGCAATGTCTGTTGTCTTTCAATCCATGCTTTGTTATGATAATTACTAACATCTACTTGGAGCACCATTGATTCGAGGACTCTAGCATTCAATACAAAGAACTCAGCAAACTTAACATGTGCATTGTTTCCTAGATAGGCTGACAACACAATTTTCTTTAGACGAATGTCAAGGGTACCAATAAGGTTCCGATATTTCTGACGCCATGCATTTGTCACCTTTGTCTTTGTTAACTGAAAAGGCAGAAGTAATATAAAAATGCTGACAACCTAACTTTAGAACAAGAATCGATGCAATAGTAATAGCTGAGAAAAGAATGCAGATGGAAGCTCTATTACGGAGTATGTTTAGTCACCTGGCCATAAGCTGTTGACATCTTGATGTACAAGTTCTCCAAGCAGGGAAAGCATTTCATGAAGGCAATGACCTCATCCAAACTAAAGTTGTTATGTGTTAAAGCTAGAACTCTCATACTGGGCAGCACCGTTGTCGAGTTAACAACATCAGATCCCTGCATTAATTAAGCACGAAATAAATAGATACTGAGGGCAAAGCTAACTAGATCTCCTCACCCAGGAATGTGATTGTGCCAAGGATGCAGAGACAGTACCATAAAAACTGAGGTGCCGAACTCCAGTCTGGGGCTTTTAATATGCAGCTGGTCCCAAAATCTTCAGTCTCGGAGCTGAGACTACTGAGATGACCATTTTTTTGGGAAACCAAAGATCAAGAAGAAGGAATCTTTCTAGAAAGGGTGCATCCTCGATGGTGAACTGGTCTAACATGGTGTCTCCCCAAGAAGCATGTACACCGATGCTCCTAAGGGTTCGGGACACAATCCTGATGCGAGAGCAGCCAATGCTCTGAGTTAGCATCAAGCTCTGCAAGAGAGGGAAACCAGCGAGCAGGGCATACAGAGAGTTCTCGGAAATTTTGACGTGCATGAGGCTCAGCTGCTTGAGAAGCGGCAAGATGAGGCCGTTTTCATCTGGGAAAGTGCAGTGGCCGAAGCTGGCGACGCGAAGGGTGGACAAGAAACGGCGCGCCGATTCAGGCAGCGGCCGCGCCGGGCTCCCCTGACGCGTGTGCCAAGAGCCGTAGTGGAAGTCGAGCTCCTGGAGGCCGTCGAGGGCGGGGGTGCCGAGCCAGGCGTCGAGCGTGGCGGCGGGGTGGGCGTCGTTCTCGAAGTAGTGCCTGGGGATGGAGAAGCGTCGGCCGGGGCCCCGGTGTGAGGAGAGGATGCCGGAGATCTGGGCCAGCGGGATGCGGCGCTCGCTAGGGGCCCGGTTGTGGAGGTCGAGGTTGAGGGGTGCGGAGCGCCAGATGTGGCACCACCGGGAGGCGATGGCCTGCGTGCGGCCGCTTTCCTTGGTGCGTAGGAGGGAGACGATCTCGCCGAGGACGGCATCGGGGAGGCGGCTGATGTGGTCGTCCTCTTCCATGGCGGGCGGCGGCGTGGCGGCGGCCCGCGAGGGAGAGTTGGAATTGGAACAGTTCATTCAGTCGACTCAAAACAGTTCATTCGTGGAGTATCCAGCCCAGCCCATTGACATCAGCAGGTCAGGCCGATTAGAGCCTGCTGCAGTGTGCCCATACCATAACCATAGCTTTTTTTTTATAATGACGCTTAAAAGAGTGTCACATCCAGAAATTAAATTAAATGTGACTACACCACTAGTAATATTAGATTTACCTGTTGCTGACCTTGCTGATAAGATTAGAGAAATGATCACGATATTATGGAACAAGAGAAGAAATATTGCATACAGGCTATCTAAAAGCAAGATACTTCCAGCTATTATGCTTCAGCTAAAGGCAAATACTAGAGGTTTGGGCCACATAAAAATTGTACTGGCTGGTAATTGGAGTGCACAGGTGTGGGACCATAGCAGGAAAGTTGAGAGGCATATTGTCAAGTTAAACCAAAGGACATGTACTTGTTTTGAATGGCGGTACATTGGTAAGCCATGTAAGAAATGCGGTGAAAAAGGTCGCATGCAACCAATGCAAAGAGAAAGAAGATGATTAGAGGACTTATGACTTGCAAGAAATACGGTAAAAAAGGTCACAGGTAAGCTAGTGCCAAGTGCCCACTGAATGGGACAACAAAAAAAGAGGTAAGTATTGATTTTCTTTATAAAAAACTTGAATCAACATGTCATTATTAATTTATTTATTTTACTTGTAGGAAATGGAAGCAACCTAGTAAGAATGTAAATAAAACTGCGCCAGGAGAATTTAGCACACCACAGAGGTCAACTAGAGAAGAAATACTACGGGATAGTCTAGGAAGGGTCACTAGAAGGTAATGAATATCAACATATTTACCATATAATAATTCTTTCCATACATCTAATTGCCGTACCATATTTCTATGTAGCCGGCTTGCGCTCATGTTAGGAGAGGGCACCTCTTCACAAACCAACACCACTAGTCCTGTCAGGATGTCTACTCCGGTTGCACCAAAAAAGATGACACCAAAGATAAGGCTATATATTGGATGAATGATCGTATCTCAGACGAGATGTAAACTCATGCTTTATTTGATATGAGATGGGATTCGTTTAGAACAATACTATGGTTTTGTGAGATAAACTTGTTTATGCTAAAATTATGGATTTATGAGATGAACTCATTTGTGCTAAATTTATGGTTTTATCTATTACATGTTATTGCATATGTCTCATTTTTGTTATTTTTTATTATATATTAATCTGTGAATTATTACATGTTACTGCCCAGGCGGCGGCCAGCCAGCCCAGGCGAGCCAACAAGGCCAGCCACCGGCCAACCAACGTGACCCGCACCCCAGACCCTGTACGTAACAGCACAAGGGCAAAAGAGTCCTTTCAGGTCTCCAAGTACATGTACACAACTTAAAAAGAAGATGAAATACGCGTAATGGCAAATAAATCAATTGTGCAACGTTTGGAGATCCATTTTCGTGAAATCGATGTTTGGAGTCTAAATCTGCGAAGCGCATTGTTTAGAGTCCCAAATATGCAATTTTCTCCCAACATCGACTTTGCAAAAAAGGGCCTCCAAACATTGCACAGTTGATTTCCTTGCCATTATGTATGTTTCGTCTCTTTTTTATTCCAAATACGTGTATTTTCTCCCTGAACGGACCCTTTTGCCCTTCTGTCCAACGATTGCATGGAGCCCGACCTCGACGCATCGTTTTCATCCGTCCTTTCGTGTGCACGCCGCCGCTCGCCCGATCCCTTCCTCCACGCGCCGCCCATGGAGGACATCGACTCGCTGCCGTCGGATCCTGAAGGGCCGCCGGCCTCTGGCCTGCCTGGGCTGGCCACGCCAACCTCTGCCCTAGGGTAGGCGTCCTCTGGCCTCGCCCCGCCTCCCTCAGGCCTGGCCATGCCGGCCTGTGGCATGGCTATGCCCAACCCCAATGCCATGGATGTTGAAGCATCAACGGAGGCCACTGCGATTGCCCTAGCGAGGTCGTTGCTGCCCATTGCTCCTCCGGCGATAGAGTATAATCTTCCTATAATTGATGTGCAAAGGTGATGCCCTAAATTATTTCTATTGTTGTTCCTGTACAGTAGTAGAGTCATGTTATAAAAAATTGATTGCACTTGCACTACTACACTCGAACCTTTCACAGCCACGTCGTAACCCCCCCACAGTCCAATTTTGGCCTCGGCATTAAGCTATCGGCAGTGATGATCATAGACCTCGCCGTTGCTATCTGAGATCGTCTATGGTGTACACTAACACCGCCGCATTCGCTTATGATCCTTCCGTGCTAAGGTCCTTACTTCCATCCCATTGGAGCTCGACCCGCCTGTGTGGGTATGCACTAACACCGCCACATGGCTTATAATCCGTCCGTGATCAGATCCTTATTCCGTCGCATTAGAGCGCGACCCGCCTGTGTCAAGGCGAACATCACCGTCGCTTCAGCGTATGAACCGTCTGGGCATAAGGCATGATCATCGTCGCGTTGAAGTATGATCCACCCGTGATGATCCTTTAGTCAGTGTCTGGTTACTATATGATTCGGTGGTAATACATTATTGACCCTTGCTGCATCAAACGAATAGCGGTGGTGATGGCCGTCTGCTTCACCAACGATGGGTATGCATCCGGTTTTCACAATGTATTTACTAATTCAGCTGGACTTTAATAACTTACTAAACACACACCATACAGATTTAATCATTACACATCATTCATCATGTCCACAACGAAGAGTACTTGTTATAATAACAATGCTCGACACTAACATAACAACTGTGTCAACTGATGAATTAACACAAGCGGTACATAGATAGCATAATAAATGTTCTGCTCCCTACATACTTACGTAAATAAAACTAGGTAGATGTGCTCCGCTCCTTTAGATTGACACTCCTTGATCAACTTGGTAGCTAATGCAGCATGGAACCCCTCTTCTTCCTCCCATAGCCATTGCAGGAAAATCATTCAAAAGCACTGACACTCCAAAACCTACACAATGCAAAGGTTTACTACTCTGAACAAAATTGGACTATATATATAGACTCAAAACAACTCCCTACCTTAACAAATACATGTCCTAACAACAAAATACAGCATATGCACCTTCATTGCTCTGCTAATGACTCCAATGAAAAGGGAGCATAGTGAGATCCGTTCAAATAAATACTCCAGGTACTTCTAGGATAGCGGATGACCCGGTAGGAAGGACATGAACTTTTCTGTGGCTCATGTCATATGCCATTAATGTTCCGTCCTCCCCGACAAAGAAAATCAAATTCTATTCTAGGTGAACTACAACCACTCTATAGTCCGCATTGCCTCTCTCGGAACCGAGTCCAATATTGTTCAGTCCAAATAGCTACAACGTGTTCACCATATGCTTCAATGTCCATTTACATGTACCTAGTCTTCAAGGATCCGAATTGAAAGGTCAGACCTATTAAAAATATCAGCAATACATAGACACAACTGACCCCTGATCTCCGTGGATGGACATTGCAGGACCTGGTGGCCTAAGAATTTTTATCCATGTCTTTCCCTCCATATCAATAGCAACTATCTGGGACACCTCCAACATGTGCATAAAACCATTAAGAAACATAATTCCTAAAAATTTGCATGCTAGAATATCCTCTCCCCATTCAGATTCTTTTATAAATCCATGCTTCAGTTTTGGATGAGTAGATGTTGACAACTGACACCCTAGGCGACCTTACCCACAGTTCTACCATATGGAAGTGCGAGGAGATTGTGAGATCGAACCCCAAGCGAGCTAAACCATAACAGAGGTTGCTATGCGGCAGTACCGCTGATTTGCTAGTCACCGGATTGCAGACAACATAGCGAAGCCCAACGCACCAGTAGAGGAAGAGGCCTCTGCAGCAATCTGAGATCACTAAATTCTGAATGGGGAAGGCAAGAAGGAAAAGGAGGGGTATTCATCGGTGAAGCTGGCGAATTGGCGTTTTCCTTTCCAGTTGCCATACATGACTTCGACGACAAACTGGGGCAGCTCCTTACGGTACTCGGATTCAGAGATGAGGCAGTACCAGGAGCGACACACACACTTGTAGCTGCACAAGGTGCGGGCGGTGAGGTGGCGGAGGATAAGGACCAAGACTTCATCTGTCAGGATGTCTGCTTCGTTCCTCTTGTTGGTGGCCTCCTCCTGTATCTTGACTAGGATTTGGTGGAACGGGGCCGGCGATGGAAGCAGCGGCGCTGTCGTCTGAATCAGAGTAGGAGCGCCTGCGGGGATGTGCTCATGAGCTCCTTAATGATCAGATGAAAGCTTGATTCGTATTCAAATGAGATAAGAGGGGAATAAAAAGCCAATAAATTAACATGGATAAGGGAAGTGCAAGAAAGCATTACCCCTGCCTTTAGATCTTGTGGCAGTGAGCTCGAGCGGCCACGGCGATGATGAGTACTAGCTTAGTCACTGGTGGATCTATGCGGCCGTGCCGGTGAGGCGTACCGGCGTGAAGCACTAGCTTGTCGGCGGTGAGAGGCGACTTGCACGCCGATGAGTAAGTGAGGAATAGCAGCACTTGAGGAGGAGACGGACAGGTTGGCTGGGTGGGTAGCGGTCTTTGTAAGCTAACTACAAAGTAGGACTTGCGGGAACAGACAGTTCCACCAAAATTTCTAAAAACAAGAGGGAGTCTCGCGCTGGCTTGCAAATTTTGACGATATCGACGGTGAAGGCTACCGTCGGTGGTAGGTCTTAAAGAAGATGGTACGTAGCACCTAACGATGGGCGTGTCATCCGAAAATGGGATGTTGGAAAGGAACAGCGACGGGTGATACAATTTTTTCAACAACGCTTATATCCGACGGTGATAGAATAAAGGTACTAATCTCTACAATAACAATGGACGCGATAATAAAGCCATATCATACGGTGGTTTGCACATACAAAGCAACACTCCACCAGCATCTCAGTGAGGTAACAACGTTC